CATGACAGTACCTAAAAACTATCACAGAGTAGCTGATAAATTTAACAATTGTAATTGCAATAGTTTCTGGATTATGACAGGAGAATGATTGCTATACATTCTTTTTGGACAAAAGAATTATAGGATGTCAACTGCAAAAGAAATTTCTATGTATGGAGGAGACTTTTGAGTCATCCTGTAAAGTGTTTTATACACAGAAGTATATAGTTTATCAAATTTTAATGAGAAAGAGGAGTTAGGTAATAAAAATGTATCATATTAATTAGTAGAATTTTCATAAAATAATGAAATAAACTTTCAATAAATGTATTGCTAAAATCAATAAATTTTTTATTCCATTACACAATTCAAAATACAGAGTATTTTACTTTAAAAATTTCAATAATTTGTAACATAGGAACACATTAAAATAATCACAACTTATTTAAAGTAATACTGAAAGCAACAAAATTCATATATCCAAATAAAAAATTAATAATAATAATTATTTTGATTTTTAAAATTAAAAGAAATATTAAAACAATATTGAGGAGGAAATTCAAACAAAATACTTTTTAATAATATATATAATTGATTAAAGCATATTCTCTCCCCAAAAAATTTTAACATCGAAAACAGAAAGTTCTTTGCAATAAAGACGTTATCAACATGCACAATAAATGCACAAGTAATACATATTCAGTTTTGTAAAATATTGCGCACAACACGAATTTCTAAAAATTACAATATGGCAATAATAATAAAAAAATAAACTGCTTGGCAGTCAAAAAAAGAAAGTGGAAAAATTGCTTAATAATAAAAGCAAACAAGTTTTCATATCTTACGTAAAATGATATGAAATAAATAAATATTTAAAAATTGTTATTATTAATATAAAAATTCAACAAAAAAGAAATGTTAACAGATTAAGTAATTGTCATTTTATCTTTCTTTTACAAAATATATATATATATATGTGGTATTTTAATATATTTCACAATTTTTACACAAAATTTCACATTGATACATATTTTATATTTTCAACTTTTGACCAGTGTGCATCTTAAGGATACGTAGTGCAATCACAGGTATTTTACAAAACACCTTTGACTATTTTTTAACTGATTTAATGTAGAGTTTAACAGTAATTATCATCACTGTCATTACACAAAATTATTTTGAGCAAACAGAACAAAATTTCAAACGAATCTATTGCTACCACATATTACAATAAAGTATCTAAACTAAACAAAATTTGTTCCTTCATATTATTACTTGAGCTTTACAGATGAAGAGTACTTACTATTCGTAAAAAACTAATTCAATATTAAAAAAAAAATTCAAAAATACACTGTTATATCATTAAAAGTAATTAAAATTACTAAAGATAACTATAAAAAATGTTTGATTCAAGAAGGGATTCTACACTTTTGTTTAATTTGTTTTTTATTTTATATCCTTCTTGTAACTTTAATATATTGCATAATTATTTTAAAAAGTGAAATATCAAATATATATGTATATATATATTTTTTTACAAAGATAACCCATTAATATTTTTATTATTAAATTGCATATCACTGCATTATTTATATTTTTCTTCTCATTAATTATCGTGATTAAAAGAAAATATCAATAACGCTTACTACTTTAATTCGACAGAATAATCACAGAAAATATAATTAATATTTTAAAATGAAATTATTTTCATAAGCAAGGACTATTCTGTATCAAAAGCAAATGTTCAAAAATAAACCAGATGAATCTTCTTAAAAATAAAATAAAACTAAAATATTTTTACATTCTGCATTTTTCCAAACGACTACTTATTTATAAAATAAAACAGAGTAATGTTTTCTCATATGTGAAATTCCTTTTTGATTAACATTTAAATAATTAAAATTGAAATGATTTGCAAAATTGCACTTTATTAATAAATATAAACAGGTTCAGCAACTGTATGATTGAGAATTCAAGGATATTTATCCTTTTTATAAATTATTTTATTAATTAGTAGAGGAACATTGAAACAATTGAAAATTGTCTGGGAGAGATTATTTCAAAGTAGATAATTTATAACAATGCTCTATGAACCTTTTTGAAAGCAAAAGTTATATCTTTTAGTTTTTTCAACAAGTCTTTGAGAATACGAATCCTCACTTAATGCTGTCAACAGGTTCTTGAAAATGAGATTAAGCAAAAATGACATATAATGAAACCAATTTTACCATAAGGTAAATGATATAAACGAAGTATAATTTGGGTTATTATTATTCTTATTGGATTGTGTTTGCTAACGTTTGACATTTAATTTCCATCTTAAAGAATCACTTCTACTATTTATAAAGAAATTCAATAATAATAGTAAATGATTACAGATGTACTTGTATCTTTCCTTGACAACATTATATAACAAAATGATATTAAGCAAAAACTTGCTTTATTCATCAGTTATTGGGTTTACATAATCATTGAAATATCCTTTACTTATTGCTCTGTAATTCAAATATTGAGATATTAAAAACACACTTACTTACTTCCAGCAATGATTTTATTACTTTGAAAATGTAATTTTGAATAGGTCAAAAACATTTTTAATGTATTAAACTCATTTTCTCACATTGTTCTATTAATATTTAAAATATTTTTAGTTTTCTGTAAGAATATTTTAAATTCAAATATTGTATGCAAGTCACACAATTTTAATTTAGTGCATTAATATTTGCAAGGTTAACTGAAGTATTAATCAGGCTTGATGGATGAATAATTTACTTTAATGTACTGTAATTTCATGATATGATATTTAAATCTTCTTAATAAGCTCTTTTATACAATTGTTAATGATGAAAATAAACATCTAATATAAACATCAACCAAAACCCGATAACCAAATAGACACCCACAATTGCCGTAAATAATTGGGCTATATTTTGAAAATCATAATTATGACTTACAAATAAATTTGTGACTCATAATTACATGAGATGGCACCTAATGCCTCCCTCTAGTGCCAAATTTATTTGTAACTCATAATTATTATTAATATTTCCACAATATAGCCCAATTATTTACAACAATTGGGGGTGTCTATTTGAAAATAAATATCTGTTGCTGTATTATAATGCAGGACAATGGAATTAGAACTATCAAATGGATTTGCTGTTATATATTGCAAGAAAGTTGAAACCTTTGTAATGTTGAAAAAATAAAAACTTTTTGGATAATTTTTCTGTAAATTTTTCTATATAAATATACCCAAAAGAAATTTACTAATAAAAACTTTTTAAATTAAATTTTTTGATGAATAATATATGCAATGAATGAGTCATAAAATTGCAGACTTGTCTTATTTTTTTCTAAGAAGATTCATCCTTATTTATGATACATAACTTGAATTTAATATATAATTTTTTAAAAATACATAATCTGTTAGATTCAATACACAACTGAAAATGTGTTTTATAAACTTTCATCCTCATATTGATAAAATATAAGACATGCAATGCATTTAATTTTTAAAATCAATAAAAACTTATCTATATTTTTTCTTTAAATTATGATTTGATTTGACTAAAAAGAAATGCATTAAAAGATTTGTTTATACTTAGTATAAATCAATATAAAATAATTAGCATATATTTTAATAATAAGCTTACCTTATTGCATTAGAGAATATGAATAAATTATTTTCAAAAAATGTCTATAATAATTAAAAAAATATACTGTGTTATTTTTCTAATAATATAAAACACATTCTAAGTCACAAGACAGTTATAAATTATATTATCTCATATAATCCTTACTATCCCAACTGTTACTTATTTTCTGAATTTTATCTAGTATCATACTAACAAAGATCAAAATAACATTTAGATTTGTAATGAAGTGACTAGAATGAAATTAAATACAGAATACTCTCGAAGATGTATAGCATACTGCTATACTTTGTAAGGATGGTTACATCATAATTCAAAATGCAACCATATACTCTTAAAACATACTTATTGAGAAAGAACTACTTGAGCAAATGATTATATTATATATTACTTGATAGTACCTTGTTCTTGGTGTACAAATAGGTACACACAAGTCCAAAACTTAAGGATGAACACAATTGCTAGTGGTAATAGCTACAAAGTCACTAAGCCAGTCAGTGACAATCCTGCCACAACATTGAGTCTGCACTGCAGTTGAGGAACATATTCTTCCATACTGAATGGGTATTGGGCACTTTCCATCTAACCTCCACCTAAATACTACCATGTTACATATCTTTTTCAAAGACTTACTATTATTGCTTTGATCTGTAAAATCCTACAAGTTGTTGCGTATAACTCTACGTTAGACAGTGAATAATACACTTCTTGCAGTTATCTATAGTTCATGCTATTCGTGTACAGTACAAATATCATTCATTCTTAAGTTTTGGACATGTGTGTATTTTCTTGAAACCAACAGTGACAAGTTTATATGTTGCTACTGATTCTAATCATTCACTTAAAATTAAATAATGCCAACAGATGACCAGAAAACATCCCGTAAAATACCAAAAACAGAAAAGAATATACTTTTAATACAATAAATTTTTAAATTTACTGTCAAGTTTCATAATCAAATAGTCGGAATTGTATGAAATAATATAATATTTACTATATTATTTTGAAGAATTTCATCTTTTTATATAATTTATTGGATCCAACAGATTATTCTAAAAAACTAATATTTCGAAAGTAATTATTATTTCAATAAAAGTAATAAAATAATATCATATAACAACAACTAAATTATCAATTGGTCCATCATTTTATAAAATCAATTTTATAAAAAAAATTTACATCTTATAATTTTTATATATAATTTATCATTAATTTTTTATATATATA